GTGCCCGCGAACTCGTCCTTCTGGGACTGGCGCAACCGGCAGCGGGCTTCCCGGTCCCCTGGTGTTGGCTCAGAGGCCTCCGCTTCCAACAGACCTTCTGGGACCCGGAGTAACCGGCAGGGCGCTTCCCATTCGTGTGGCTAGTCCCCAAAAGCCTCCACTTTCCCCTTGGCTCCCTGCAAGGTCGGATAGGAAACAAGCCAATCTGCCTTGGCAAGAGAACACCTCAGTCCACTTTCAATAAAACAAAACAAAACTTTCCGGACATCCTGTCTCTCATTCCTGCTCAGTCCCCAACCAAACCCGTGAGGCTAATGCGTCTCTGGATTCCTCCCAGGCTTGCAATCCCAGAGTCTGCAGTTAAACCGGGCTCTATGTCTTTGTACCCCTCCCCAAAAATGCAAGCCGGCAAGCAAACGGGTCTCTGCCTGGTGTTATCCAGTTTTGCTTATACAGGATGAAGGGGGAGCTGCTGGCCCACGCTGGTGGCCACTGGAGCCGCTGGGTGCCCAAGCACCTGTGGTAGACCTCTCTGGTGTTGGTCTCAGACCGATGGTTCTGGACCCCGGCTGTAGATGCAGCACCCGGGCCACCTGGCCTGGGGCGCCAGCTCCCGCCGCTTCTTTGTCTTTACTCTGGACCCCAAAGCCCCACTGACCTGCCGCTTTCTGGTGTTTCAGCGTCCAACAGAGTCTCTGTTCTTTCACCTTCACAAATGCTGGATAACTGATGGATTAGTGCGCTGCTTTTCTATAGATCTGCCATGATTTTCACCCACGAGTGCGGGAGCCAGAATCCGCTCCCTCTTACTCCGACGCCATCTTCCAAGACTCTCCGGCTATTTCTTCATTGCTTAGATTTATTGGCTCTGGGACTCTGAGTTGTACTTGAGCCATGTTTTGATCTGTTCCTGCATCTTATGTAGGAGGAGCGGAGCCTCAGATGTTCACCAGGGCGGGGCCACCCAGGTCGCTGGTTTGTGACGCTGTATGTGGGGGCGGGGTCAGAGAGGGACAATGGCGGTCCCCTCTGCTGCTTCCCGCCAGTGGGGTCTGCACCGTCCGTCTCACTGCTTGCTCCTTCACCAGTTTATCTTTGCAGGAATGTGTGACCACGGTCAGCCCTCAGTGGGTCTGCCCGCTCCTCCACACCTGGGATCCACCCACACTGCTGGTGCTCCTGGGTCTCACGCCCAGGTGGGTCTGGTGGATCTTTCCTGCCTGACCCCGCTCTGCTGCTGGTTCTGCTGCTGGCTCTGCCACTCTTACCAGTTTGGCTGAAGGGTTTGTTGTTGTCAGACTTCTGTGTAGTTCAATTTTCTGTGGTTTGGCTGCATTTTTGTTGCTAAAATTTTGTTGTTTTTAAACTTGGTTGTATGAGAAGGTACAGTGTGTCCACCTACGCCTCCATCTTGGTGGAAGTCCTCGTATTTTTTGATCTGAAGTGAGTCTTTTATAGATAGCATGTATAAGGGTCTTGTTTTCTTATCCATTCAGCCATGCTATGTTTTTTGATTGAAGCATTTAATCTGTTTGCATTTAAAGTAATTGTTAGATATGTATTTATTGCCACTTTATTACTCATAATTTTGATTTTTTTCCTTCTTCTTAAAGAAGACCCTTTAACATTTCTTGTAATACTGGTTTGGTGGTGTTGAACTTCATTAGCTTTCTCCTGTCTGGAAATCTGTCCTTGGATTCTAAATGATAGCGTTGCTAGGTAGAGTAATTATGGTTGTAGTTCCTTCCTTTGTCACTTTGAATTTCTTGCCAGTCCCTTCTGGCCTACAAAGTTTCTGTTGATAAATCAGCTAACGGTCTTATGGGAGCTCCCTGTAGGTAATCACCTGCTTTTCTCTCACCGCTTTTAAGATTCTCTCTTTGTGTTTAACTTTTAGACTTTTAATTATGATAGAGTCTTGGTGTATGCCCCTTTGACTTCATCTTCTTTGGGACTCTCTGTGCTTCCTGGACTTGTATGTTTATTTCCTTTGCTAGGAAAGGGATACAAGATATACAAGGAAAGGGATGTTTTCTGTCATTTTTTCAAATGGGTTTTCAGTTCTTTGCTATGTCTCTTCTCCTTCCAGCACCGTGATGTGAAAGCTGTCCCAGGGCTCCTTAAACTATTCTGTCCTTATTTTTGGATATATATTGTTTTCTTTTTTGCTGTTCTGATTGTTTTCTGCTACCTTCTCTTCCAAATCACTGATTTGATTTTCTGCTTCATCTTTTCTATTGTTGATTCCCTGTAATATATTCTTTATTTCAGTTATAATATTCTTCATTTCTGACTCTTTTTTATGTTTCCTATCTCTTTGTTGAAGTTCTCACTAAATTCATGTACTCTTTCCCTAAGTTCATTGAGTATCCTTATAACCAGTATTTTAAACCTTGCATCTGGTAGGTTGCTTGTCTTCATTTTATTTCGTTCTTTCTCTGGAGTTTTGTTCTGTTCTGTCACTTGGGTCTTGTTTCTTTGTCTCCTCATTTTGATTGTTTCCCTGTGTTTGTTTCTATGTATTAGGTAGAGCTGCTATGTCTCCCAGTCTTGGTAGAGTGACCTTATGTAGTAGGTGCCCTGTTGGACCTTGTGTTGCAGTCTTCCTGGTCACTTGAGCTGGGCATTCCAGGTGCACCTCACTGTGTGGGCTGTGTGAATTCTCTTGTTGCAGGTGAGCCTTTGTTGCTGTTAGTACATTAATGGGAGGGATTTACACCCAGGCAAGTTGGCTGTCAGGACTTTGAGTAACAGCCAACTATAGTCGGCTGGTGTTTCTGTGCAGGGACTGACCTCACAGTGGAGGTGTTTCTGTGCAGGGACTAACCTCACAGTGTAGAACTTGCTTCAGTAGTGCTGTGGTGCCCACAGGGTCTGCCCATTCAGGGTGTCTCTTATAGAGGTGGTTGGGTGATGCTCTGGCATGTTCTCCATGGGATGTGCTGTCTCAGGGACCTCCCAGGAAGTTTAAGCTAAGATGAGCCACTATCTTTGCCCTGCCCAGGGCCACAGAACATAAGCTACAGAGTGGACTGTGGGTGGCTGCTAGTTATGCTGGGCTTAGAAATGCCTGGGAGCAGCCAAACTTTGCACTGAGACCAGCTGCTGCTAGTCCCGGGCCTGGCACTGAGTAAGAGGTGTGGGGCATATCTTAGGTCAGATGGCTGAGGCCAGATGCTTTTTGTTTGGCGTTTGTGAACCTTTGAAAGATTTTAGGAAAGGCTACAGCATGAACCAGGATAGGCTGTTTGTATGGAAAAGCCACTGGAAACGGCCTGGGTGTGCCTGAAATTTGGGTGGGACAGGGTCTCAGGGTAGGGTGAATAGTGTTAGCAAGGCTGATGGAGACTCAGATATAGTGCCTGCCTGCTGGCTCTGTTGGGGGCAGTGGGAGCTCAGCAAAGGAACAATGACCTCTGTTAGCACTTCTGTCTGGGAGAAAGCTGCCCTTCCAGCTCTTCCCTCAAAGCCAGACAATTCAGTTCCATCTTGTATGTCTCTGGTGCCTTTCAAGTGCTGCCCCAGTGCTGAGTGAATAAGTCCAAGTAAGTCAGTGCATGGGCCCTTTAGTGCAAGTGAGTAATGCCTGGGACTCCAGAAGCCCTCAGTCTCACGTGGCCTCAATCTCTGCAAGTTTTCACAGCTGGAAGTTTGGGGACTTCTCTTCACGGCACTGGAAACTTGGGCTTGCGGGACACAGTGTGGGTCTGGAACCCCTCTCTCCTCAGTGGGGACCTTGGCACCTGAGATAGCCCTCCTGATTTTTAAGCGCCATACATGCATGAAGGAGCAACACATTCCTCATCTCTACCTCTCCTACCAGGACTTCTGTTCAGCTAGATTTCAGGCAGTTCTGAATGATGGGTTGTTCTGTTGTAATTTCGATGTGGCTGTGGGAGGTTCTGAGTACTGCATTTACCTAGACCACCTTTTTACCAGAAGCATCTCTGTGTCTTACTTTAGCAAATGTTGGCTGAGTACATGGCTGTCTCGGCTCGTTGAGGGAGTTGTCTACTCTTACTGGGCATTTTTTTCTAACTTCCCATTTGTTTTTTGGGTCACTTCTGTTTGGTTTCACCATGTCACTGAAATTGTTCCATCTGGTGGTCCTGCTTCAGTTATATGTCACTTCTCTCTCTGACATTGATTTATATTGGTAACCTCTTCATCCTTAAAGTACCTCCACCGGCTAACATGACTGTATATACCTTTTTGTTCCCTAAATGCCTGAAACAATTCTTGACACACCAGCACTTATTCAAGTTATTAAATTGTTAAGTTATCCAAAAATGCCTATGTACAATTCTAATCCACTCCTGTTGTTTTGCTTGGGTTTTAATAATTCTCAAATCATATCTACAATCTCCAGTTTTTCATTTGGATCCTCTTATGCAATGCAATAACAAAAGTATTTAGGTGACTAGAACAGTCAATTAAAATTGGGAATAAAAAACATAATACCTACATAAGTTATTTTAACTTTAAATATTGGCCAGATTTTTCTCATCTCATTTATAAAACTTGTGTGACCTTCACACATAGTCATTCCCTCCTCTCTTGTTTTATACTTTTTATATACCTCTATTATTGCATGTATTGTGCTGTAATGTCATTATCTTTAATGTGTTCTTTTTACCTAATCAAGTATGTGCTTTGAGGGCTGTGTCTGAGCCTTGTCATCCTTCTTCCTCGCACTTGCACAGGGCGTGGCACACAGTAGGTGCAGTAGGTGCTCCACAGATGTTTATTGAACTAATGCGAATTTATGACATAATAAGATGGAATCGAATATGCCCTTAGAAACACATTTCCAGTTTTGATTGGTATTGAGGAAATATTTTTCCAGTGCTGTTTTGTACATTCTTATTTTAATGTAAAAACTTTTAAGTGTGAATCTGATGAGTTCATGAATGGCAAGGGTGGATTTAGATGGTTGGATATTTGATACTGGATATTGGATATTTTGAGGAACACTGATGCTGTCTCCTTTTAATCTCCAGGACATTATTAGATTTCATCATACGGGAACACTTCCCCTCAGTAGATGTCAAAGAACCTAATAGATATGTGGTAAGTTTTTAAGGAGGGAGGGTAGTACTCTGTTTTCTCTCATTGGCCTGCCAACATTAGTGGTTATAACTTAGGACTTTAAGAAACTACATTTAGGAAATGAAATGTAGAGCACCATGAACATTTTATTAGAGGAAAGTAAAATGAACCACTTCATACACAAGGCATAGATAAGAAAGTTGTCTCGTTTGAAGGTTATCTAGAAAAAAAGAACAGTTGCTACTGCATCCTGACTGTATACATTGTTTTTTTGAGCAGTATTTATAAGTTGGTCACATGTATTCTTTTCTCATCTGTCAGATACATAGATATTTCTATAGTTGTAGTTCTAAAACAAACATAGTACATAATAGGAAAATATGATTTCTATTCTAGTTGTGATTTTTTTATCTTCATAACCAGTTTTCATTCTTTTAACAGAGAAGAGAATCCCATTGTTTTTATTGGTGATTCATTTCAAAGTTTAGCAACTCACTTTGCTTACTTCCCTGTGCTGAATTCCCTGTGCTAAATTTAACTTCCCTGTGCTGAATTCTGATACCTTTTCTTTTTCTTATTGGACACAGAGAAAGTTTGGTCATATTACTGTGTCTGAGCCTTTTATATATTGTTTCTGGGTGAATAACTTTATGTTCTTCTATATATAATTTCTATTCCTTCAGTCATCTGTTGGCCCACCTTTGAATTCTTTCTGTGTTCTCCTTGTGACTTACCAGAAGATCCTAAAAGAGTATACATTACTGAAAATCTGAAAATTTTTTAAATTTTATTTTAGAGATTTTTTTCCATTGTGGTATCCAAGACGGCACAACTTATTGCCTTGTGGATGTCTGTTGGTTTTGCTCACGGTGAGTTATCTATTGGTGTTTCACTCTTCTAATGAGAAAGTAGAATTAATCTGTTGAGGCGGAAGATTTCTTTCTTTTTTTTTTTTAAATTTTATTTAGTTATTTTTCAAGTACAGTTTTTTGTCTATTTTTCCCATCCCAGCCTCCCCCGCCCCTTGCTCCCCACCTCCCTCCCATTTCCACCCCCCCCTTAGTTCTCGTCCCTGTGTCCTTCCTATTTGTTCCTCCAAATCCCTCCCCCTTTTTCCCCTTAACTTCCCTTCCTTCTCCCCTCTGGTCATTATCCCCTTGTTCTCTATTTCAGTGCCTTTGTTTTTTTTTTTTTCTGCTTGCTTGTTTGTTTTGTTGTTTAGCTTCCTGTTAAAGGTGAGATCATATGGTATTTGTCTTTCAGCACCTGGCCTATTTCACTCAGCATAATGCTTTCCAGTTCCATCCATGTTGTTGCAAAGGGTAGTTGCTCCTTCTTTCTCTCTGCAGCATAGAATTCCATTATGTATATGTACCACAATTTTTGGATCCATTCATTTACTGATGGGCACCTAGGTTGCTTCCAACTCTTGGCTATTGTAAATTGTGCTGCTATGAACATTGTGGTGCACAGGTTCTTTGATATTGATGTTTTAGGATTCTTAGGATATAATCCCAGCAGTGGAATTGCTGGGTCAAAAGGCAGGTCGATTTTTATTTTTCTGAGAAAATTCCATACTGTTTTCCATAATGGTTGTACCAGTCTGCAATCCCACCAACAGTGAACTAAGGACCCCTTTTCCCCACACCCTCTCCAACATTTGTTGTTTGTTGCTTTGTTTATGATAGCCATCCTGACTGGTGTAAAGTGGTATCTCATTGTGGTTTTAATTTGCATCTCTCTGATAGCTAACAATATTGAGCATCTCTTCATGTGTCTCTGAATGTTCTGTATGTCCTCCTTGGAGAAGTGTCTGTGCAAGTCCTTTTCCCATTTTTTAATTGGGTTGGGTGTCTTCTTAGAGTGGAGTCGTGTAAGTTCTTTGTATATTTTGGAGATTAAACCTTTGTCTGAGGTATCATTGGCAAATATGTTTTCCCATACAGTTGGTTGTCTTGCTAATTTAATACTGTTTTCTTTAGCCATGCAGAAGCTTTTTATTTTGATGAGATCCCATTTGTTTATTCTTTCCTTTACATTCCTTACTCTAGGGGACATATCAGTAAAGAAGTTGCTGCGTGAAATATCTGAGATTTTCTTGCCAATGTTCACCTCTAGGACTTTAATGGTGTCACGGCTTACATTTAAGTCTTTTATCCACCTTGAATTTATTTTGGTGTATGGTGTAAGTCTGTGCTCAAGTTTCATTTTTTTTGCACGTAGCTGTCCAGTTCTCCCAACACCATTTGTTGAAGAGGCTATCTTTACTCCATTTTATGTTACTGCCCCCAGATTTCTTTTTTTATATATTTCAAACTATTCCTGCCAATGAGCTTCTTAACATTTATAATATATGAATTTATTTTTAGCAACAGAGAAACAATTTTCTCATGTTTAAAATGGTTTTGAATTGAACAGCATACACAAAATAGAAAAAGGATATCCTGTGGGTATAAATTTAGATCTCTTTAAAGGTATTTTTAAAATCTTAATTATGAAAGCATTACGTGCTTCTGTTAAAGAATTTAAAATATACAGAAGTGATTTGAGTTCCATTCTCCAGGATAATCATTATTAACCATTTCATATCAAGTTTTCTAGACTTAATTTGGTGATATTCATATGTCTCCTATAAAAATAGCAGGGCTGGCTTTTGTATGCTTGAAGCCATTCACTACTGTGTGGGGCTGCATTGGAAGGAATATCTGCCTCAACTAGGAACAACTGAAAAGCAAGTTCTGTATGTACCACAGTCTCTAGATAAATGCCAAAGGGGGATTCCACATTGCAAAACTCCTTGAAATCTGCCTTAATTACCACATACTCTTCTGTATCTCACTTGGGGTTGGGTGGGAACAGGGTAGGTGTTTCGAAGTTTTTGCTGTTATGAACCGTGCTGCGGTGACCACCGTGCAACTACATCTCTCTGTTCTCAAAGGTGAGTTTTTGAGGATGAACTCCTAAAAGTGGAGTGGCTGGGTTAGTGTTTCTACATTTAGCATTTTGATAAACAGGGTCATCATGCTCTGAAAAACATTGAAACTCTCTAACTGAATATCATGCCACCGTGCCCACATAGCCTGTGTTAGGCTGGGGTAGTCACGGCTTCCTCCTACCCCACACTCTGCCGCACCCTTGATCCCCTCACCTAAGAGGTCACTTTTACCCCCACCCCTCCCCACTGCCAGTGCTCTGCAACTCAAGACTGTCATGGAGTACACACCATATTTTCCCCTTTTCTGAGCCTTTGAGAGTTTTATTCCTTTACTAGTCTCAATTCTATTCCAAATAACATTTTTTAAACAAGTGTTAGAAATTGAGGATAAATAAGAGAAAGTTTCATTTCTTGGTCCTTTTGTTCCCGAAGTATTTGAAATCTTTGGGAAGGGGGAATATAAAACAAAAAGCTAAATTTAATTTTAAAATACAAATATTAAGCTATTTGTCTTCATCAGTTAAACTTTTGATCGATAATCTCATTTTGTTTTGTTTCCAAAACAACTGTGTTCCATGATCTTTCCTATTCTGAATAATTTTGTACAATTAAAATATACTTTATTATTTTATTATCATGTTTTTGAAATTTTTAAAAATTTCAGGTGTTTGTAATACTGATAACTTCAGTTTGTTATCCATTACAATCGACTATGGTCCATTTGGTTTTATGGAGGCCTATAACCCAGGTGTGTATGATTTATGTGTATGTATTTAAATGTGCCTTGTTTTACAGGTTTATTTTAGACAAACTTATAGATAATACAGTGATGGGGTAGTACAAGAATTGGGATTATTTATAGAATGGTCACTTTCTGTGGTACTCAATCTTCCAGGTGCCATAGGGGTACGATGATGAATTCTTTGTGATGGCTTTTCTTAGGGAATTACATATTAGAGAAGATGACATGAAGGATGGCAGGGAATACACTGTGAGACTTGGGCCTGATGTCTGGCATCCGACCCTAATGGCTATATGCCCTTGGACAAGTTTCTTAACCTCTCACTTATTAACCTGCAAAGTGCAGGTAACAGTAATATAATACTTAAGACTAGAAGGGTCAGAGCAGACTTTGTGGACGACGTGCTGCTTTGGAGTTTGACCTGCATATGCGATAACCTGGAAGTTCTTGTAGGTTAGCAGTGCATTCATTTATTAGGAAAATACTCATATTGTAAAATATTTTCATGTGCATTGGCATTAACTACTTATATTACTTTTGAGTGAAATGTTTAATATCAGAAAGATTTTATCTAATAAACATAAATTTATTAAGTTTAAACACAAACTTAAAAGTGAAGAAAAAAGCTATTCACTATAATTATCCTCATTGTATAAGGATCGTATTTTTTTAAACAGATTTTGTACCTAACACATCTGATGATGAAAGAAGATATAAAATAGGAAACCAGGCCAATATTGGGATGTTTAATTTAAATAAGTTGTTACAAGCTATAAACCCATTACTGGATCCTGGGCAAAAGCAGCTGTGAGTAAATCCTAAATATACCAATGTATTTGTATGATGATCGGTTTTTGAAAAGCAAGAAAATGACATTTTATTTTTTATTTTATTCTTCTACGGAAACAAGGGGTTTAATACAGGCTTCAAGCTTACATAGGTGTATGACAGGCTGGGAGGGGAGGGTTTGGAAGGGAGGCACCAGGAATCAGAGGAACTGCCCTAAGCATTTGCACTTAAAGTGTGGGCACTGTTGACAAGTTGGAGCTTCCTGAGAAACCTTGAGAATCCCTGCATATCTATTTGCTACGGTGGGTCTGAAGATTGTCACGGGGCAAGGTCTTTGGAAGTCACATCCTCAGCAGACCTGATGCCAAGCACCTAACTTGTGCCCAGATTGGTCAGCAGGGCCAGTAGTCTCAGAAGCCTGAGCTGGCTGTGGAGTGGGGGGATTGAGGAAAAGCTGGAGTCCAGCAGGCACCTTAGCATCTTTGTTTCTGGCTACCCTGAGCGGCAGAGTATTGGCCTCCATTTCTCTCTGCTTCCCGAGTTCATTTAGCTGGCAAACATAATCCTGAAAGAATGTAGGGAAAGGAGTTTCTGTGAAATTCTCAAATCTGGCGGGAGCCATGGTACAGTCCAGGAAAGCCACTTGGTCCCGGATTTATTCATAGATCTTCTTAGCTGCTTTATCTTATGGAGAAAGGCTATTTTGGAAGTTAAAGCATTCTTTTGGTCAGGATACATTGTACAAAAATTTTTTTCGATTCATGCTCTTTGTTAAACAAAAACATTATCTAAGTCTAAAATATGTTGTGATTTTTTTTGTATCTTTTTTCGAAAGAAAAGGAAATGCAAAAACCCGAAGCCAAAGACGGAAACTTTGAGTTTACCACTAACTACCGTGTTACCTTTTCAGCAAATGGAATTGTTTTTTGCTATTGAGGGAGGAGAGCAAACTGGGTGGGTGGTTGCAACTCTTGACCCTAAGCGAATCCCTTCCTCAGCTGGGCTTCAGGTCTCAGTCTCACAGCTGTGCCGTAGGCTGTCAGTGGTGTGGACTCTGCTGCCTCCCCCAGTCTAGAATCTGCCCTCAGGCCCAAAACCAGCACCTCAACTTTCCTTTGGGAATTCATCTCACCTTTTTCCTGTCCAATCATTTCTAAAGGGCTGACCCCACATCTAGTTAGTCCTGTCCTCTGGGTGCTGTGATGGGTTCAAGGATGAGAATGTGACTAAGCCTGGCCAAAGGAATTAAAAAATTTTTTTGTTTATCTTTAGAGGGGAAGGGAAGGAGAGAGGGAGAGAAATACCAATGTATGGTTGCCTCTCGTGCATCCCCTGCTGGAAACTGGCCTGCAACCCAGGCATGTGCCCTGACTGGGAATTGAACCTCGATTCTTTGGTTCACAGGCCTGCGCTCAATCCACTGAGCTACACCAGACAGGACCAGGCCAAAAGAATTTTTGGATATTTTTATCTTTATTTGTTTTTTTATATAATGTTTTATATTAGTTTCTCATGCACAGAATAGTGGTTATACAATCATATGCCTTACAAAATGTTCCCCCTGATATTTTCAGTATCCAACTGTCATTTTTAAGCTGTGACTTTTCATGGAACCCAAGGAAAGGAGAACCGCTGCCCCGCAGAGTGGTTGGTGAGGGGGTGGCAGCCCGGAGTTGCCAGAGGTGCATGATGCAGGCAGAGAGGCGGTGCCTGTGACTGGCATCACCCAAAGGCACTTAGCAGGGTTGGAGAAGGACCACATCCCACTGCGAGAGTGTGAGAACCTGGCTCTGCCGGGTCCAAACGCCTCTTAAACTTGCTTCTTGCAAGTATTAATTTATTTTTACAATTTTAAAAAGTATTAATTTATTTTACTTCAGTAAGTGTGTCTAGTTTCTAGCAATCAAAAGAGTCCCAGCTGACACATCGGAATCAAGAATCTGAGACTCTCTCCAGTATGGTGTTCTTACTGGGAGGGGAAAAGTGGCATTTTAAAAACCAGCCTATTGAGACTTTTGTTCAAGATGGAGGCATAGATAAACATGGCTTGCCTCCTTGCACAACCACAGGAAAATTACAACTAGACTATAAAATAAATATCATGCAGAATCATCGGAAAATTGAGCTGTGTGGAAGTCTGACAACCAAGGAAATAAAGAAGTCACATTCATCCAGACAGGTAGGAGGGTTGGAGATGTACAGATGCAGAACGGGTGCTTGTACACCCATGTGTGCTGGATAAAAACTGGGAGGGATGCTTTGGGAGCAAGGGATTCTAGCTCCACGCCAGACCACCCAGCCCAGGGTTACACACCCAGAAGGTAAGCCCACATAACTTCTTGCAGTAAACCAGTAGGGGTTGCGGCAGCAGAAGAAACTGTAGGATTCTCAGGAGTCTCCTCTTAAAAGGCTGTTAACAGACTTTGGACTTAAACATACTCACTCCCTTTGGGATCCAGCACAGGGGCAGCAGCTAGAAAGGCACAGTGTGGGCATATGGGGAGAAATGGGGAGTGTCTGAAATCAGGACAAGTGCTGGAGGACAGTTTTCTTGCGGACAAAACCCCAGAGACCAGGCAGCAACATTGTCCCCTTTCTGAGCCCTCCCCTACTCAGAGCCACAGAGTAGTGACACCATATCTGAGACTCCATCAACCTGGTTCACATGGGTTGCCCCACCCTGGCCATTACCTAAGGCTCCCCCCATCCAGCTTACTGGTGCACTTTTCCCCTATAAACCATGATACCATGAGGGAGTCAAAGCAGCTCTACCTAATATATAGGAGCAAACACAGGGAAGCTGCCAAAATGAGACAAAGAAATATGACCCAAATGAAATAACAGAATAAAACTCCAGAAAAAGAAACAAAATGGAGATAAGCAACCTATCAGATGCAGAGTTCAAAACACTGGTTATTAGGATGCTTAAGGAACCCATTTGGTACTTCAACAGCATAAAAAAGACCCAGGAAGAAATGAAGGTTATACTAAGTGAAAAAAATGTACAGGGAACCAGTAGTAGAATGAAAGAAGCCGAGAACCAAATTGATGATTGGAACATAAGGAAGAAAAAAACATTCAGTCAGAACACCAAGAATCAAAAAAAACAAAGATAGGTTAAGGAGCCTCTGGTACAACTGCTGGAAGGAGAAGAGTAAGCAAGAAATTGAAAACTTATTTGAAAAAAGTAATGAAAGAAAATCTTCCTAATTTGGTGAAGGAAATAGACATATAAGTCCAGGAAGCACAGAGAGTCTCAAACAAGAGGGACACAAAGAGGACCACACCAAGACACATCGCAATTAAAAAGCCAAAGATTAAAGATAAAGAGAATCAAGAGCAGCAAGAGAAAAGCAGATATTACTTAAAAAGAAATTCCGTAAGATTGTCAGCTGATTTCTTAAAAGAAACTTTGCAGGCTAGGAGGGAGTGGCAAGAAGTATTCAAAGTGATGAAAAGTAAGGACCTGCATCCTAGATTACTCTCTCCAGCAAAGCTATCATTTAGAATGGAAGGGCAGATAAAGTGCTTCCCAGACAAGATAAAGCTAAAGGAGTTCATCATCACCAAGCCATTATTCTATAAAATTTCAAGGGGTCTTACGATAAAGAAGAGCAAAACTATTAACAATTAAAATGGTAATACATTCGCAAGTATCAACAACTGAATAAAAAAAAACTAAACTAAGCAAACATAAGCAAACAATCAGAACAGAAACAGAATCATAGATGTAGAGATTATTTGGAGGATTATCCGTTGGAATGTGGAAGGGGGAGAATGGGAAAAAAGGTGCAGAGATTAAGAAGTACAAGTTGGTAGGTACAGAATAAGGAGGGGGATGTTAAGAACAGTATAGGAAATGGAAAAGCCAAAGAACTTATGTAAATGACTTAGACACATGTACTTATATCCATAGTCATGGACATGAACTAAGGGGGAGGATTGTCAGAGAGAATGAGGGCTACTGGAAGGAGGGGGGCAAATGGGGAAAAACCGGAACAATTGTAACAGCAAAATCAATAAAATATGTTTTAAAAACCCAGGTTATTATTTAGCCTTTAATAATGACAGCATTTCAAACTACAGGTATTTCTCTATCATAGTTTTGGCTTTTCTCATAGTTAAGAGGATAAGTTGTTATACTATTTATTGTTTTTTAGATGTAAAATTTCTGTTTATTTCTTCTTTGATCCAAGTGTTATGTACCACTGTTTATTCATTGCTAAATTGTTGGACTTACTATATCCATTGTTTTGTGTAAAGAATGTGGTAAAGTCTCCTACTGAAAGTGCCTGAAGGTTTCTCTTTGGTGGAGCTGTGCTCTACTCAGGAGGGAGGGCCCGAGGCCTGGCTCTGACTTGCGTTTTCCAGGACCCAGGCCCTGGGCCTGGGATTGTGTTAAGACTTCTGTCGATCTAACCACTGGACATTGAACTTCTTGAAGGCAGGGACCACGTTTTATTCATTCCTGTGTCCATTATATTTTCCAGGAGATAAAAAAACCTATTTCTCTTCACACTTTCCTTTCTCCCCCCAAATCTAAAATTTACCGTTTCCAGTACAAGATCCCAAATGGAAGACAAGGCATATAGTGACTTTATTAATCCCATGTAGCAAATAAAACATCATTACAATTAAGATTAAAAAGTTCTATGTCCCCTATATGGTTTTCTTAATTAATTTAAAACTATATTGATGATACAGTCACGTAGTTCAAAATCAAAGTCATATAAAATGATGTTCATTAAGCAGTCTTCATCCCACCCTTTCTCCATTAATTTTTTTCTCCCTTTTACCCTGTAGAGTTCATTCATTCATTCAACAAAGATTTATTGAGGTACTTGGTATGTGCCAGACACTGTTCTTAGTGCTAAGGGGATAACAGTGATTGAGACAGCACAATAAGTGTGACTTCTTAGTGCTTACTTCTGGTCAGAGACCAGAATAAGGTATATAGCTTACTCTTTTAATAAACAAGTTATATAACATAGAAGGGGATAAGTACTCTGGAGAAAAATAAAGCACTGGGTAGGGAATGCAGGGAGGGAGAGAAGGAGGGCGTGTAGTTTTAAAAGGATGGTCAGCAAAGAACTTGAGCAAACACTTGAAGGAGTCACAGGAGCCGATATCCGGGGGAAGAGAACTACAGGCAAGTGGGTAGCCTGTGCAAAGGCCCTGAGGTGGGAGTGTGTGGGGGGCGTTTAAGGAAAGGCCAGATGGTTGCAGCAGAATGAGCAAGGGGAAGTATTGTAGGAGATGAGGTCAGGAAGGTAAAAGGAATGTGTTGAGTTTGTACAATTGACTATGAATTTAAGACAGTTAAGAAATAAAAACTTCATTGTTCAAAGATGGGTTTGTGGTTAAAAATGCTTTAATTCTTATATTTATATAAAATATCTCACTGTTCATACTTACAGGCAAGTAAAATATTATTTTGTTGTGTGAGCTATATATAATACATTATATTGGGTCTAAGATGATGTTTAAAATACACCCAAAAGTTATATAACTTTCTGGTATATTAACATTTATCTTATAAGCTAATTATATATAGTGATGTTTCAGGAATGACCTGATATGATTTGCACTGTATCCAAACCTTTGAGACAGTAAAGTTGTGTTGATAGTGTTTTCTAAGATATGATACATAATTAAATCATTAAACCAGAATCAGTAGCACATACTCTAATAATTTTTTTAATTTTTAGAAAAATTTTATTGTATTTTTTCTATTACCACTTAAACTCCTTATGCCCCCCCTCACCCCTATAGTCACCACACTGTTGTCCTTGTCCATGAGTCCCTTTTCATTTCTGCCCCATCCCTCCACCCCCAGAGCTGTCATCCTGCTCTCTACCTATGTCTGTAGTTCAGTTTGTTCATTAGATTCCACACATATGTTAAATCATATGGTATTTGTCTTTCTTTGACTGGCTTATTTCACTCAGCATAATGTTCTGGAGGTCCATCCGTACTATTACAAAGGGTAAAATTTTCTTTGTTTTTATGGCTGAGTAATATGGATTGAGCACGGGCGTACAGATCAAAGGATTGCAGTTCGATTCCCAGTCAGGGCACATGCCTGGGTTGCTGGCCAGTTCCCTGCAGGGGACACATGAGAGGCAACCATACATTGATATTTCTCTCCCTTTCTCCTTCCCTTCCCCTCTAAAGATAAAATCAAGGTTTAACTCTTCTTCCTTTTTTCTTCCCATAGCGCTGCTCAGATTCTTGAGGGGTATCCTGTTCTTTATTATAGAAGGTTAGTTCTTTTTAAAAAAAAATTAAAAATTTAAAAAAGATTTTATTTTATTTATTTTTATAGAGAAGGGGAGGGAGGGAGGGAAACATCAGTGTGTGGATGCCTCTCTTGTGCTTCCAGCTGGGACCTGGTCCAAAACCCAGGCATGTGCCCTGACCCGGAAGTGAACCAGTGACCCTTTGGTTCGTAGGCTGGCACTCAGTCCACTGAGCCACACTAGCCAGGGCAGGTTTGTTCTTTTTGAATACAGATGTTAAAGCGTCCTGGTGGGTTTGAGGACAGTTCTTAAAATAGTGAGAATTTTAATGACAAATGTTGACATTTCTTTTCTTAGATTTAGAGAATTGTTCAAAGCCAAATTGGGATTACTTGGAGAAACAAAGGGTGATGATGATTTAATTGCATTGCTCTTACACGTGAGTTTATCATTTTACCTTTTTTTCTGATTAACATTTGAATTACTAATCAGTATCTTCTCAAAGAACTGAGGTTGATAAATATACTTATTTCCATTAGCTTATGGAAGAGACAGAAGCTGATTTTACGATGACATTTCGACAGCTCAGTGAGATTACTCAAAGCCAGTTACAGGAGCTCAGCATTCCTCAGGTATTAGTTTGTAGCATTTGGCTTTTTTCTTAATTTCACTTTCTTTTTATAATAGGTTTGTTGAGGTATAATTTATATACCATAAAGTTTCACTCACCTTCAATATATAATTTAGTGATTTTTAAGTAATTTACAGATTTGTACAGTTATCACAATTCAGTTCTGGAACAATTCCATCATGCTAGGTCCTCTGTGCCCTTTTGAGTCCATCTCTATTTTTGCTCCCAGCCCCAAGCAACTAGTAATTTATTTTCTATCTCTCAAGGTTTGCACTTTCTAGACATTTCCTATAAGCTGGAATTGCACGACATGTGGTCTTTTGCATCTGGCCTCTTCACTTAGCACATTTTGAGGTCCGTTCACACTGTGACCTGCATCAGCAGTGCTTTCCTCTGTGTTTCTGAGCGGTGCTCCTTCCTGCGGCTGCACCACGCTTTGCCGACCCTTCACCAGTCGATGGACGTTGGGTCATTTCCACGTCTTGGCTGTTGTGAGCAAATACTGACTCTGAACATGTATAGACAAGTTTTTGTGTGAACATGTGTTTCATTTTTCTTGTGTATATTCTAGGAGTGGAACTGCTGGATGGTTTAGTAAATTTATGTTTAATTTTTTAAGAAGCCACCAAACTATTTCCAAAGTGCCTGCACTTAATTCACTTTTGAGGATATGTGTTGCGTTTTTATTTTATTTATAATATAATGACTATATTACATATGGACTAATATGGGTATTGGCAGTAGAGTTCTACTTATAGATTTTTAGAAATACAGATCTATTTTTAAGGTCTCATTCTTCTGTATTGCAGTGATTGTTTTTATCCCATTGTGATTAATACCTAGCCTTATTTTTTTCAATGAAGAACATTATCTTTCATAATATTCTCTATATAATGTCATTTTTTCAGTTTTTAACAAATTCAAATTTATTTATACACTCATTCAAGTATTGAGGACTCACAGTTATTGACAGCTTATTCTGGGACAGGAATTATAGTAAATGCTTCACAAAATAATGAAAATTTATTATTGATATAACAATTATAGGTAACATTTATTGAGTTCTTATTACATTCGAGGCACCATTGTAAGATTTTATATGTATAATCTGTCGCATTACATATGCGGTAGATAATACTGTGATCTCTCTTTTACTGATAAAGAAACTAAGGCACAGAGAGTTTACTTAACTAGCAGCAGGTCACACAGCTAGTGAAAGTCTGGCTGGACTCAAACACAGGCAGCTTTCTCCAGAGTTCGTGCTCCTGGTTCCTTAGCTCTGCTGCATCTTTCTTGTGTAAGAAAAGGATGGAGCCCTTCTTCTCTCAGTCCCTTGATCTGGTCAGTCACCAAATGAAAGGTAGCCTGGGCTACGTCATAAGGCCGGGAAAGAGAGTCCGGCGGAATATGTCCATAGGTTTTCCAGTCATTTTCACTGTGCTTAGGAGGCGGGGTGCTGTAGTGACTGGAGAGAGAGGCCCTGGAAGCAGATTGGGTGCTTCAGATCTGGTTCCCCCAAGACAGGCCGTGTGAGCCTGTACAGGTTACCTGCTTTCTCTAACCCTCCCTTGTTTCATAGGTGAGACGGGGTTAATGGTAATACCTATCTCATGTGTGCTCAGTAATTGTTAACTGTCAGAACAGATTCCAGACTTCTGTGTTTGCAGCGTGATCTCCTCCTGGGGTGTGAAAGAAGGGTGCCATTGTCGAAACTGCACTACCAAGAGGCTTCAGCTCTTACCACTTATTTACAATTATTTTCACAAAAATAGCTGTTAATGTAGGAAATGATAATTAAACTAATGTTCTTTGAAAAAGATGCATAACAAGTGATTCTGTAAAGGTGGTGTGGATCACACTAATTAAAAGAAAAATTATTTTTCTCATGGGCACGGATAGCCTTAAATTATATTTCTAGTAGTTATTTGAAAAAAAAATCTCTACCTATACAGTAGGAAATATGGAAGAACATTAGCCAGTAAGAATCTTGGATGTAATTGACAAAATTAATGATTCATTCATCTATCAACATTATTTAATTAGTGGTAATCACTATCATTTAATGTGTAAAAAACTGAAAGTAATGTTAAAATGACTTTTTCAAGTTTTTGACAGATATTAATACTTAAATTACTAAGCATTTTAAGTACTTAATTATTTAACATTTATTTGGAATATTTAATTGAGATCATTATACCTTAATTATTTCAGTACTAAATTTCTGTGCCTTTTCAATATGAAACCTTTACAACCCCCTGACTAGTAGGTGGAGTTAATTGCTTATTCTTTTGTGTTCCCTTATTCTTTTATATTTCTATAATATATATTTTATAAATATGCGTATTTCTAAAATGACATTGAATATTTTTACCCTTAAATATACACTTTCCTTAAATTCAGGGACCATGTCTTATTTTTATATCCTTCTCTCCTAATAAAGTGCCTAACAGTAGTTGACCTTGCATAAATATTTATTTAATGAATAGATAATGAAATAAAAGTTACTTGCAAATTAAGTTTTTGAAAGTAAATTACTTTAAGGGAGTTCCCTATTTACTTATTTTTGTAAAGACTTTATTTATTTACTTTTAGAGAGAGAGAGAAGGAGGGAGAAAGAAAGGGAGAGAAACAGCAGTGTATGAGAGATACATGGATCGTGTTGCCTCTCGTACGCCCCCAGCTGGGCACCTGGCCACAACCCAGGCATGTGCCCTGACTGGGAATCAAACCAGCAACCTTTTGGTTTGCAGGCCGACGCTCAATACACTGAGCCACACCAGGCAGGGCAGTTCCCTATTTAAAGGAGGACTTTTGGTTATACAAGTATTCATGTGTATGTAATCTCTATTGATAAGAACTGTGTATATATTTTTATTTCTCTTAAATCATTCCATTACATGGATTTCCATGAATTAGAATTTAGAGTTGAATGTTATATAAAGAAAAGGGAAATATTATTCCTTTTTAGTATTACTTCTACTCAAAATAGTAAACTTTAAAAAATCTGGATACGAATTATTAAAGAATATAATTGAAAGGAACATGGAGTTAAAACAAACTGAACAAATATTACTAGACTAAGCACTGTATTACTGTATTTCATTTAGCAATTCTGGGCACTGAAGATGATTTCAAAGCATAAACTCTTTCCTGTCTGGGTGTCTCAGTACCTCTTGAGACTGAAGAGGTAAGTTAATCTAATAATTTACGAAAAAGCTTGTGATGTGTTACTTTAACATAGTCAGTTCATCAGATCCCTTCCTTCCTTTCTGTTCTCCCATTTCCTTTTACTCCCACATACTTTGCACTAGGTGAGGTGTCTTAGTAACCGCTCACCCATGGAGAGGGCACCTGTCTGTCCACCTCGACTCTCCAACAACACAGTTCCCCTGTCTCTCAAGCTCTGAAGCTGGAGAAGGGTTCCTCGGGCTTTCTTACAATGTTTACTTACTGGTTCATGTTATACAACTTAAGAAGTGACTTTGTTTGATAACCTAAAATGAATTAGAAGCAACAAACATGACAGAGTAAAGGAACGGTAAAATAGAGGGCGCTGAAGAGAGAGACAGAAAAACCGCAGGACACACAGGAGCAAACACCCCTTCACAGTTTAGCGGCCACTGAGGGCTCTTTATAGAGATGACTCTGAGTAATCAAAGAAAAGTCGAAATATTTTCAGAAGACTAAGTTTAAGATAAGGAAATTTATGTCATTTTTATAAATTTATTTCTTAAATTTCTATTTACTGAGAGAGGGAGACATTGTTTTTTATAAATTCATTTCTTAAAATTTTTATAAATTTATTTCTTAAATTTTTATTTATTGAGAGAGGGAGAGAGACATCGATTAGTTGTTCCACTGATTTACGCATTCATGTGTCGGTTCTGACTGGGAATCAAATCCCCAACCTTTGTGTGTTGGGACGATGCTCTAACAAACTGAGCTGCCTGAGCAGAGCCTTGACTATTTTTGACAAAAATATTTTTTGATTTGTACAAATAAAAGAAGGTTTGGTATTATCTAAAATAACTAAACAAGGTAGTATTTTACATATTATTTGATCGACTCAGTATTTTCTTATTTTTAAAGACTTTATTTATTTCTAGAGATGGGGAGGGCAGGAGAAGAGAGAGAGAGAAACACTGATGTGTGGTTGCCTCTTGTGTGAGCCCCCGACCGGGGACCTGGCCAACCACCCGGCACGTGCCCTCGACCAGCAATCAAACCAGCGACCCTTTCATTCGCAGGCGGTCATCATTCAGTCCACTGAGCAATACCAGCCAGGGCTCACCTTGGCATTTTCTGTATTCCTTTCAGACACTGATTCACTGTGATTTCAAAGTGTTTTTTGTTAATATTTGTCTTGTGAAATAATTCCTACCCTTTTGAAAAAATATATAATTTGGGGAGTCAGGAGATGATTTTGTCTTTTGTTTATTCATTTTTAGTAATATGAATGATTCAGATTCCAAAAGAAGAGAAAGAATGACAAGTGAGTGATCATTTTGATTTTATTTAACTTTGAATAATCACATAAAAGCAACATTTTTGAAAACCAGAAGTAACTACTTGAGGGAACTGAGTTGTTTTTTTTTAAATTAAATTAATTTAAAAGTTAAAAAAATTAAAGACTGGTGACCAAGATGTAGGTGTAGGTAGATACCTTTTGTCTCCCTCCACAACTAAAAGAAGGACAACAAACTTAAAAACAAAAAACAACCAGAACTGCAAGGAAAATTTTTTTAAACTAGAAGAATTCTAGATGGATAAATTTTCCTTGAGGTGAAGTGTCACCTATGAGCTTTTCTAATTTTACTTTTTTATACATTTACTTCTAGTCTTTTATTTTTTTGTATGTATTGATTAGAAGAACATGTGATATAATTTTAGATCTCATTTTCACTAAAATAATTTTAGATCTTATTTTCACTAAAAATAAATTAAGCAGTTTTTCTTGCTGCTTCATTCTTTATAATGTAACATTTTTACTGGCTGCATAATAATACTTTCTTGAAAGGATATATTGTGTTTTACTTTACCATTTCCCTATTATTAAGTATTTAAGTTGTTTCTAGTTTTCCTTAATAATATGAACAGTATTTTTAATGTTTGAGTTTGTTCCTATAGACTCTATTTTCAGATAATTAGAATGACTGAGTTTTTATATTTTTAGATTATCTCTCATATTTTGTCAGATCTTTAAAACCAACTTGAAGTGCAATTTGTTCCTTTCATTCAAATAGCTCAGACAACTGTGGTTGAGAATCACAAAACGGTGATTTCTGGAGGCTTCTAGAATTTCTCTTATGCCACCCAGCTGATGTTTTGGAAAAGTCTCATCTCAAATAAAGACACAATTCCTGGAATTTTTCTAAATGTGCTATTGTTACAATACTTTTCAATATAAAGAAATGCATGGTTACTATAAAAATATAAATGTAGAAAGGGTTTTGTCTGTAGGTAAGCTTTCTCATATGCTCTTGGCCACGTCAGCATTAAGCAGTGCTGCTGAGTCAGACCTTAGTTCTGTGAGTGAAGATGGTAAAAGCAGCAACTTTCCCCTCTCCACTTAGAAGAAAGGGCCTAGTTGAGATGAATTCACTACTTTCTCCATGTTTTATAAAAGGCTTAGCGGACTGATCATAGTGAAAAAGACAAACTGGTGATGAAATATGGAAAAGAAAAACAACATTGCTCATGTGCTCAGTTTCTTCTGTTCCGTAAGGCAGTAAATACTGCACATCGTTTACAGACAGTCGGCATGGACCGCTGCTGCCTATTGCTTCTCACTTGAGCATCCAGCAAAGTTCTTGAAGATTTCTAATTTCAGCTGTGATTTCACGCAGCCTCTGCTGACCTGTAATTTATAGTTTCAGTGGGTGCTTTTCCCTCTTGTTTAAGCTGCCAACCCTAGATACGTGCTGAAGAACTGGATGGCGGAGTCTGCAGTGCAGAAAGCAGAGAGCAATGACTTTTCAGAGGTACGGTGGTTGGCTTTTCTGCATTTATTTTTATTGGTTTTAAATATGTCACATTTTAAACACACTGATTTTGTTTGCAGACATGCAAAATTAGACCACTGCTAGCACCAGCTTTGGAATTTTCATTGCCTGGTTTCATATTTATTTTATTTTTAAATTATTTATTTATTTAAAAATATTTTATTTATTTTTAGAGGGGAAGGGAAGGAGAGAGGGAAAGAAATATCAATGTATGGTTGCTTCTGGTGCATCCCCTGCTGGGAACTGGCCTGTAACCCAGACATGTGCCCTGACGGGGAATGCCTGGTCTCATATTTATTTTACTTAGGGATATGCACATATATTGTAAAAGTAACAAAATGAATAAAGATGACAAACATCAACTTCTAACAGTGGCAACTGCAAGAAGGAAATTTGAGTCAGGGAAGGATACTTGGTTCCAACTATATCGGAAGTATTTTATTTCTGAAGCTGAATGGAGGCTACACAGAAGTTCATTATGTAATTCTGCATACCTTCCTCTATGCCTCAGTATCACAGTTAATTGTTTGAAAATGCATTGCATATAATCTGGTTTTTGGGTTGGAGTGGCCCGGGCACTCATGCGGTCCCTCGTCTGTCCCGCACTGGAGCAGGCAGTGTTGACTGGCACAGCCCTTTGACTCCCGAAACTGGCTGCAGCCTCAGAAGCACGCTCATCAAATGGGGAGTCACTACTTAGGCCGTCAGAGTTGGCGTGAGAGAGAGACTTGGCTATTTCTCATTTGGGACGTGCAGTCATTTTTTTATTTCAGTAGTTTTCTTAGCCTGACAACTCTAGGTTCGCATTTTAGAACATAAAATATTCTTACGTGTAATCTTTTTATGGTGTTCAGGAAAAACAGAGAAGGGAGATGACTGAGCATTTATTTTTAGGTAAAGCTGTCTAAGCTGAGGAAACTTAACGTCGCTTAATAAGTCGTTCTGTTGGCTTGTTTCTCCTTTCTCCCCCTCCCTTTTGTTTCTTCCCTCTTTTCTTCCCTTCCTCAAAGCTGTACTTGAGTAATGATGCAGTGTCCACTGTGTGGGGAGGTGTCTTCCTATACTCAAATAAATATTCAGAATCACCAGACTATTACAGGCTGCTCTCAGCCCCATTCTACTCAGAAAGATACAGGTTGACACCTGGCTCATAAGAAGGGCAATGTCAGGTTCCTCGCTGGCAGGAGTTCTTGCAGCAGTTCGCAGCAGCAGGACGCATACGTGAAAGCTCAGGTCCCTGGAGATGAGAGCCACCCTGGGAAGATGCAGGGGCAGCCCTGGTTTAAACGCTTAATGTTCCAAATCTTGGCAGTTGCAAATAATGCTACAGTGAACATAGTGGTGCATATATTCTTTCAAATTAGTATTTTGGGTTTCTTTGGATATACTCCTAGAAGTGGAATCACTGGGTCAAATGGCAGTTCTATTTTTAATTTTTTGAGGTCAGTGGCTGCACCAATGTGCATTCCCAACAGTGCATGAGGGCACACTGGTAGCCAAGATTGGGAAGCAGCCCGAGTGCCCATCAATAGATGAGTGGATAAAACTAAGGTGCATTTACACAATGGACTACTGCTCAGCTGTAAAAAAGGAAACCTCACCTTTTGCAACAGCATACATAGATGGACCTGGAGATTATTATGCTAAGTGAAACAAAACAGTGAGAGAAAGACAAATGCTATATGATCTCACTTACATGTGGATTCTAATGAACAAAATAAACAAAATAGAAACAGACTCATAGATATAGAGAACAGACTGACTGCTTTCAGAGGGATTGGGGAGCTGGGTGAAAAAGGTGAAGGAATTAACCAAAAAAAAAAAAAAAATCCCTCACAGACACAGATAACAGCATGGTGATTACCAGAGGGAGAGAGAGCAGGTAGGGGGAGGTAGAGAAGGGTAAAGGGCGATAAACAGACATGGAAGGAGACTTGACTTGGAGTGGTGGACTCACGATACAAGATACAAATGATGTGTTATAAAATTGTACATTTGAAACCTATATAATTTTATGAACCAGTGTCACCCCAGTAGATTCAATAAAATTTTAAAAATAAAAAAGGTTTATGTTACACAGAGACCAGTATCTCTTGGAATAAGGCCATCAGTATAGTTCCCAATATTCTTATTAGAGACCTGCCTCAAGAGTCACCACGTAAAGAAAGCCCTAAGCAATTCTGTCAGATATTTACAGTTTTCGAAGCCCAGACGCTATTTTTCAGTCAGAAGCAGTGTTGTATGGTGACGCAGTCGACATACCACGTCATCAGGTTACCAGGCAGCACACCTGGAACGTTAACTAAGGGTTACATTCTCATGCAGGAAAGGGAGAAGATTTGGTTAAGCCTTTTACACAAAACCGTTCGCATACGCAACTTGTGTTTACCTTCTTGCTTCAAATGTTTCTTGAGAATCCACTCTATGTGAGGCACTGTGGAGAAGTATAAAAACTGATTCAGGGAGCTTTTAAACTGCTGGGTCTAAAACTGACTTTAAACTTTAATTAAAGATTCTTTACAGAAAGTACCTGGGGAGAAGTTAGGAGGGGCTCGAAAATTGATGATGATGCAGTGTTTCTATTTAAAATATTAGTATATAGTAATATACTCTATTTGAGTTCTTGGCTTTACTTTCTTACTTTAGATAATCATCCACCTTTTTCTATCAGAACTAGGCATTTTCTTAGTAATATCTAAGGAAGTAATAAAACCATGGGAAAATATTTGAGATCTGGTTGACATATAACACTATATTAGTTTCAGGCATGCAACATGATTCAGTACTTGTACATATTGCAAAATGATCAGCACAATAAGTCTGGTTAGTATCTATCACCATACATGGTTATAAAATCGTTATTTTCCCTTGGGTTGAGGACTTTATGATTTATTCTCTTAGCAACTTTCAAATATGCAGTGCAGTGTTATTAACTGCAGTCAGTATGCTGCACCTCACATCCCCATGACTTAATTATTTTATAACTGGGTGAAAGTACACATTTTGATCCTAGAATTATTGTTTCAAGAGATATGTTCTTTGATGCTTCAGTTTATCACCACAGGGCAAAATTACAAATGAGGGCACAGCATAAGTTGGAATCCATGCCCTTGATTTAGAAAGATTGCAAATTATTGACATTGTTTTATTTTTGTAGATGTTTTGGAAAATTACAATCCTCATACTGCTGTGAATTTTAATATCAGGGCGTAGATGTAGCCTTCGTGACACTGTACACACTCACTCTCCCATGGTAGCACAAAACTAGTACTTGAAGAACTTTCTGTGGAACAGTAGGAATTTTAAGTAACAACTATAGTTGAAGTATTAATAAAATATAAAGTGCTTAAGCATTTTCAAAAAAATCTAAAACTCAGCTTATTGTTTTAGAAATGTAGAAAATTAATAAGTGTCCGAGGAAGGAACTCTGTATTTATCTACTTAAATTATTTACCAGGTCCGTCTTCTTCAGCAAGTTCTCCGGCGCCCTTTCCAGAAGCACCCCGCAGCTGAGAGAGCAGGCTACTCCTCACCTACACCCTCTTGGGCTAGAGATCTCAGAGTTAGCTGCTCATCTTAATTTGGAAAAAATAAATTAAAGAATACTTCTATCATTGAATTCAACACAGAATAATCAATTTGATAAATTCTTAATGACCATCTACATTTTGGTGACAATTCTGAATTTCATAATAATGATTCTATAAAAAAAATTCTCAACCAAATAAACTGAACCTGTTCTTCGAAACATCTTTGTGATAATTTTTATGCTAATTAATAACTTTAATGGAACGATAAGAGTTTTTTGGTAAGCTGTGAGTTATTCTCAACAAGTAAAAAATTTTGATAATGTTTTATAATGAATTTGTAAGTATTCATCTAATACTTATTATGTGCCCAGTACTTTGGAGCACATCTAATGAGTATACTAGCTTAATTGTACTCTTAGAGCTGGGTTTTTTTTGGGGGGGGGTCTATAATACTACTTCTCAAACCTTTACCAAAGTCAAGAGCATAGTTTAATGAACCTCGTTTACCTTTTATTCAGCCAGCTTATTAATTATCAGTGCATGACCAATCTTGCTACGTCTAGACCACTACACACTTCTTAATGTTCCTAGTATTTTAAAGAAATTTGCAGACATCATTTCATTTAATTTACAATATTTCTGTATGCATCTCCAAACATTACTGATTTAAAGTACATACACACTATGTCATTATCACCTTAAGAGAATCAACTCCCTAATGCATGAAATCAAATAGCCAGTTTTCAGTTTTTTTTCCTATTGTTTTATAGCATCACCATCATTATTATTTTATAGTTGCTTATTTGAATTCGGATCCCAATAAAGATTGTCCATTATAATTAGATGATAAATCTTTTAAGTTTCTTTTGATACCTGCCTTTGAGCCACTTACATCTTTTTTTCTTGTAATTTTTTGTTTTCTTTGGGTTGCAGAAACCAGATAGTTCATCCTCTAGTGTTTCCCGGTCTGCATTTTGCTGATTGCATTTCTGTGGTCTTGTTTAACATGTTGCTGCATCCCCTGTATTTCTGTCAATCTAGAGCCTGATTCAGATGCAGATCTGATTTCTTTGCTGGAAATACTTGCCATCAGGATACAAGTGCTGTGAACGTCCCCCAGGTCTCTGTGTGTAATCTCACTGGTCACTGACACTCATCACCTTGGCCCACCGGTTCAGTGAGGCTGCAATTGATTACAGTCTAATCGTATCACTCATTTGTCAGGACCCTTCTAAAAAAGAAACCTTCCTGTTATTTATTATTTGGTCATCCTGACATATAGAAAGGCAGACTTGTGAGTGGGCTTCCAAGCATGGTCTAAAGACAAGCAGTGGTCTTGTTTATGTTAGTGTCAGTACGAACTCTTGAATTTAAGTGTATTTTATGTCTTATACCATTGCATTTATTATCCTTACTGACTAACAAAGTGTCCTGCATTTGGCCAGTGAG